TGTCTCTTTCTGTACATTTAAACACATATGATTATTCACATAATCAAACCAATATAACACGTTTATTCTCAAATCTATCCATAACTCAGATTATATCAGTCATATATAATTTATCTTTCTCATAATAGGTTCAGCTATAACATATTCCCAATGTTCATAGTCTCAGTGAAACCTATTATCATAACTTCCACACCTCTAGTTAAGTCTAATTATTTTGCAAATAACCAGATCCCTTAAACTAAGGCTCTGATACCAACTATAACAACCCACAATTTCCACATACAGAAAATCCACATAATATTACTCATAACACAGAATATAATATTGTTTATAAAATACGAATTAACAAAAACTTTCTTTAATACATTTGGGAACAACTAAATTTTATCATTTCTAAACCTTCCCCTTTCCCTTATCCTGCGAGGTATGTTGACCTGCAAAACCGGTTAGTCCAATAACTGAGCATTAGACCCAAAAGATCTAGTGAGTGTACAAATATCATACAAACAACTTACTTTCCAAACTAGCAGTTTAGAATTAAACCTGTACATATACAACATTTTATCTATAATTTGTTATAGAATCTTTTCCTCTTGCGGTTACACCGCCATTTCATCTCTCTCGCGGTTACACCGCCATTTCATCTCTCTCACGGTTACACCGTCATTACATCTCTCTCGCGGTTACACCGTCATTTCTTTGATAAAAACTTTAATTCAAAAATAAAGTCTAATCAACATCAACCGAATTTGAAATCCGGACAACCCTACCCGGATAGAATCATGACAACTTAGCCGGATAAGAAATCCGGTCAACATTGTCCAGATATCTAATCCGGACAACACCTGGAAGCTTTGAGCGATTTAGTTATATCGAGTGACCTTTGAGCGATATAGGTAGAACTCTGATCGATACTTGTCCGGTTTAGGGGAATATCCGGTCACCCTTTGTCCGGTTTAAGGAGTTATCCGGTCACCCTTTGTCAGGTTTAGGACATCCGAATGATATGAAATGCAGTTCATAAAAAGCAATTTCTAACATCAAAAGAATTATTATACAACAACCAATACTTTAAAGCAGTATACACTCACCTTAAAATGTTGAACGGTTTGAATCTGCAATTTACTCTCTCAGAATTTGAAGAAAACTCTTAAAAGCCAAACCTTTCCAATTAACATACACTTGCTATTTATAGCAAGTGTATAACCGTCTTTTTACAAAAGTCGGTTATACACACCTCATCACCTTCACACACTTCACACAATCATAACACACACACACACACACACACATATATATATATATATATATTCAAAAATCTTGAATCAAAACTCGTAACCCGAATATTACACAAAACCATACAATCAAAAAAATAAATAAAGCATGTAACACCTTCATTTTATCATCAGAAATGTGACGTAGTCATAAAAAATTCTCCATGACGAAGGTTAAATTAAAACCGTTTACATCGGAAGACTTTAAGATAATAAATTAAAAACTAACTCGTCTCATACCGGGTTACTTTACAAGATTTATCCATCAAAGATGTCTAAACATAATAATGAACTAAAATGGACATGCCAAGTCTCTATGCGTGCCATTTTTCTTTATCCTACCTAAAATCTTCTGTATGTGACATGCATATTATAGTCAACTTATAAAACTTAGTGATTTCATGGTTTGAGTGAATAAAATTATTTCATATCATACATATCAACTTGTATGCATTTTATACCAAATAGTATGCATTTTCTTGAAACATGCAAAACTTAAGGAAAATAGATCCCAAAAGCTGTTTGGTCAGGTATGGGTCATTTTATCACTGGCATTCTCTGGGTTCTTCGACCTGCACCTGTTCAGCACTCATAACTAGGTCGTGCCACTTGTCGTATGACTTGCTGGTCAAACGCCCACCACTAAAACTGATCTTAAACTTTCGTATGAAACTGTACACTAGAGTTATTTGAAAACAAAACAAACACATGACATGTAACTGATCATAAATAACATGTAAATATATTGTAACATATATGTAAATTGAAACATCATGCATACATACACATCACCATACAAATCATATCATGCCAAAAAATAAATGTGTACGTAGATATGCATCTCATTGTAAATCTCATGAAGACTCACCTGATTAACAAAATAATATATCAACCAAATAGTTATTTTTTCAAGTCTTTCACAAAATAACCACACGGATCTTCCCTATGGAGCATGTTGACCATAGGGGGACGATCCAAGCTTCTTTGACCCAAAGAAGTACATAAAAGTATTTTAAATTGATTTGGGGGACCCACATGTATCTAATTCTAGGGGACAACCATATGATTTTTCTTAAATAAGGGGATATCCCCCACCTACCCCAGGATCTTCCCCAGAGAGCGGTCTGACTTACAACTTTGAGTGCTATTTTGTTTTTGTAAGCCGAATCGCCCCTGAGGAAATATCTTGATGTAGGTAGGGATGATCCCCCTATTTAAGAAAAATCAGATGTTTGTTCCCCAATTTAGATACATGTGGGTCCCCCAAATCAATTTAAAATATTTTTTATGTACTTTTTTGGGTCAAATAATTTTTGTGAAAGACTTGAAAAAAATGACTATTTTGTTAATATAATTGGTATATTTTTGGCTATTTTGGCCAAAAACCCATACAATTAATGCTATAATATATGTTGTTTTTTATTTGTGTTAACATTATAAATATATTTAATTTTTAAAACATTCAATATTCGGCTCATTTCGAAGGTATCGACGAAACATTTCTAATTGTGTAATTTGTAAAAAAAATACATATTTTTAATGTATTTTAGCTGATAGTTAATTAATTAATATAATAAAAATATAAATAAAAAATTGAGAAAAGAAGGGAAGTAATTAAAACCACCATCCTTACGTTTGGTGTGGATGGTTTATTTCTTAATTTTGTATTTAAACTCTTTATGCTCATATTCAACACAAAATTTAAAAGTTAGAATACGCTAAAATTATGAATCGGTTACACGCACGAAACTTATAATTTACTAAATTTATTATATATAGATATTATATACCAAGAAAAAAAAGACTTAGCCTATGTTTAATAAATTAGTTTATAAGACATCTGATAGCTGATAAACTAGTTAATTAATAAATCATGTTTGACAAAATTAACTGACAGAAAAGTAAAATAATAAAAAAATATATCTTGAAAAATCAATGAATTATAATATTTTAAAATATAATTAAAACAAAATTTTAATAATATAATATATTAAATAATACAAATAGAATTGTAAAAACAATAATAAAAAATAATGATGTAACACGTGAAATCAGTAACAAACATGGAAACCCTGGTGCTGTTCGTTGATTCTCTTTTATTACTTACA